TGTTGTTTGTTGTTGTTTTTATGATGGGAAAGTAAGTCCAACACCAGCTACTTAATCATGGCCATTACCAGAAGTCTCTTTTCTTTATATTTCAGTGTTTTTTAAAGTGTGGTTCTTCTTGAAAAATAAAATTTTAAGAAATCCATGATGTAGAAAACTGAAAAGAACATGGTCCCACCCTTACAGCAACAAAATGGATAATCTGAAAATTTTCCTTGAATGCATCCAAAGTCTGAGGTCTCAGGGCAAACAACTTACCTAACATCTAAGCAAAGACAGACACTTCCAAGAAGAGGTGGGCATAAGCACTTGCTTACCTAGGGCAGATGTGTCTGGATGCCATACAAACTGTTAAGAAGAAATCAGCTAAAACGTTTAGTGAATTGCTAAAGTCCAAATGTTGGCTAGCATGAGAATATGGAACTTCTGAGAACCATAGACACAGGGGAAATTGCACCCACTTGCATGCTGTTCTCCATGGACATCACCAATGTATGTATGTGTGCATGCACACACACACACACAAATGTAGGTAAGGCAAGAAGAATCCTATGAAATCCTTTCTCCTGGGAAAGACACAAAGTCCCATCCAGATTCTTCTTCCCTATTTCTCCTACAAAACGAAATCCTTAAGCCTCTGGGGACAGAGAATCAAATCCTGCTCCCCTTAGAGATGTTAAGATCCACTGAAACAAGGATAAGGGAAGAGAAAAAAAGCCTCTCTACTCATACAGTAGGGGTAGGATTACATCCTGGGTCCAGACCATAGAGGTCTCCTACAGCTGGAGATAGAGCAGTATCACTTAATAGACTCCACCCTCGATTCTCAGAGACACAGTGCCTACCTAAGATTAAAGCTGAATCACAAAAACAGGAAATGCCATCCCTCCTACCACTATCAGAATATGGAATATTGAATATATTGAATGCTGAGTAACAAATAATAGCAATCTACTGCTAGAAGATAAGAACATGGCGAGAGACACTCTGAGGCCAGGGAATAAAGGGAAGGTCTGAACTTGATAGTGACTGAGAAAATCCCTGTTGGCAAACCAGCCTACACACTAAACACAAGGCAATAGAAGAATTGGAAGCCTGTGGGTAACCAAAGCAGCATAAAAAACCTACACACAGTTCAACTCCTGATTAAACTGACTCAATCCTCTACAATAAAGACCTACCAAAAGAAAAAGTATGTCCATTTTATTTTTGCCTCAGTCTCTATTGTTCTACACAAGGTTTTGGGCTTTCAACCAAAAAAAAACTTACAAGGCAAACAAATCAAAAGCAAGAAAAAATAACACACACCATCAGAAGATAAAATGATCAACAGATACAGATGTTAGAACTATCAGAGAGTTAAAATAACAAAGATAAATATGTTAAAGAGCTTAGTGGAAAAAACAATTAGATGGATAATTTCAGCAAGGAAAAAGAATCTATAAAAAAGAAATGAGGGCCGAGCCCATGGCACACTCAGAAGAGTGCGGCGCTGGGAGCGCAGCAGCGCTCCCGTCACGGGTTCGGATGCTATATAGGGATGACTGGTGCGCTCACAGCACTCACTGGCTGAGCGTGGTGCGGCCGGTCTCAAAAAGGACAAAAAAAAAAAAAAGAAAAGAAAAGAAAAGAAAGAAATGAAAATTCTAGAAATCAGAAACATGGCTATGGAAATGAGTGCCTTCAAGGAACTCATCAGATACAATACAGCCAAGAATCCACGAACTTGAAAATTGTTCAGTAAAAATTACCCAAAATGAAACACAGGGAAGAAAAAGATGCCCCTCCCCCCCCCACAGAACAGAGTATCCAAGAGCTATGGGACAATATTAAATCGTCTAACTTACGTGTAACTGAAATATCAGGAGAAAAATGTATGTATGTATGTTTGTGTATGTATGTTTGTGTATGTATATGTGCATATATGTGTGTATACTATATGTGTGTGTAAATATATACACACACATGAATATTTGCAGGCAGTTAGAGAAAAAAGACACCATTACATACAGAAAACAAAAATAAAGATTACAACTGATTTTGCAACAGAAACTATGGAAGCCAGAGAAAAATGCAGAGCTAAGAGGGAAGCCCTCTAGTTCCAGTTTGAGTGGAAAATAATCATCTAATGCTCTGGAAGAGGGCAGAAATCCTCTGATTTCTTTTCTCTGTACTTTCATGCCTCAAGTAGTCTGGGATGGGGATAGCAGCAGGAGTAATGAGTGTTGGCAGGATCCTAAAACTCAAAGGAAGTGAGAACCCTCCTCTCTGATCAGAGGAGCTGTGATTTCAAGAAGGGAGAAAAACCCAAGTTGTTTTTTTTTTTTTTTTTCCTGTGTTCTCTCACTGCTTAGTGTGACTATAAAAGGATAGCATGCAAGTACAGTTGCAAAAAGTGTGTAGCAGAGAGGGCTAAATAAAATCCCAGATTTCTACCCAAAAGATAAGAAAAGAGGCACACAAATGAACCTGAAACAACTAGAGAGATTTCAGAGAACGAGTATCTCAGGAAAAAAAATTCGTAAAGTTGTCTATAAATTCCTGGGCTCTCCCCTGAGCTACATATGCATGGATCTGACCCTGAGCAGCACAGACAACTGAAATATGGGATATGCCACCACCCACATTCTAGAATGGCCATGGGGTGGCCTGCATATTTGACATATGGATAGTATTATAAACATTTTGAAAAATAAACTGATGTTAGAACAAAAACTCAAAGAAAAATGATCAGATCTTGTGCCCAGAACTCAAAAGGGTTGAATGCCTGCTTTTTAAAAAAAGTAACATTCTCCTTAAAATTTAAACATGTCTCATTCAAAATGTCCAGGATACAATCCCAAACTACTCAGCATGCAAAAAAAACCACAGAAAATTGTCAACTTGCATTGGGGAAAAAACAATCAACAGATACCAATATTGAGATGATAGAATAAAGACATTATCAGATTAAGAGAAACTAAGATAATTCATTACTAACAAAATTACTCTAAAGTAATTCCCAAAGAAATTTTTTTTCAGATAAAAGGGAAATGATACCAGAAGGAATTTTGAAAGGAATGAAGAGAAATCAACAGAAATAGTAATATCTGGGTAACTAGTTTTCCTATTGAGTTTGATGTCTAAAAGCAAAAATTATTAATATTATCTGATGGAGTTTTCAATGCATGGAAATGTAATATACAAGGGAATAGTATAAAATATCTATATGATGGTAAGATTTCTACATTCCACTTAATGTGTTAAAATACTGATTCGAGGTAGAATGTGAAAAGTTAAACATGCATATGTTAGTCCCTAGAACAACTTCTCAAAAAATTATATAAAGCAGTATAGTCAAAAACAATGGATAAATTAAAATGGAATAAGAAAAACATTCTAATACCTCAAAACAGGGTATCAAAAAGCAGAATGAAGAGGAACAAAAAACAGAAGGAACAAATAGAAAACAAATGAGAAAGTGTTACACCTAAATTAAAACATATCACTAGTTACATTACATGTAAATGTAACATCAAGTAAAACATAAGGATAGTCACAGTGGATTTTTTTTAAATGACCCAACTATATGCTATCTACAGGAAGCTAATTTTAAATATGATAATATAAGTAGGTTAAAAATTATAGGATTAAGGGCCGGCTCGGTGGCGCACTGCTACAGTGCCCGGGCGCTCCCGCCGAGGGTTCAGATCCCACATACAGACCGGTTCCCGCTCACTGGCTGAGCAAGGTGTGGGCGCAGCACCGAGGTTTGCGATCCCGTTGCCGGTCCCGGTCCGGTACGGGCGCGACACTGAGGGTTGCACTCCGTTGCCGGACACGACAAAAAAAAAAAAAGACAAAAATAATAATAATAATAGTAGGATTTAAAAAAGAGATGTAATGCAAACACTAATCAAAAGTTTGCGATCCCGTTGCCGGTCCCGGTCCGGTACGGGCGCGACACTGAGGGTTGCGATCCGTTGCCGGACACGACAAAAAAAAAAAAAAGACAAAAATAATAATAATAATAATAGGATTAAAAAAAGAGATGTAATGCAAACACTAATCAAAAGAAAGATGTGGTAGCTATGTTAAGATCATATAAAGTAGACTTCAGAGCAGAGAAAACTACCAGTGATAAGGAAGACATTAGATGATGAAAACCAGGCTAATTCAGCAAGAAAACATAAAAATCCCAGGTATGTACATTCTTAAAAACAGAGCCTCTAAATACATGAAGTAAAAATTGATAGCAATGAAAGAAGATGTAGAAAAATCCACAATTACAGTTGAAGAATGCAATACTCCTTTTGTAGTTAATCAGTAGAACTAGTAGAAGAAAATCTGCAACAACAGAATAACCAAACAACAGCACAATCAATAAGTGAAAAATATTATTTGGACTCCATTAAAATTAAGCACTTAGGCTTTTCAAAAGACACTGCTATGACAATGAAAAAACAAGTCTCAGACTAGGAGAAAACATTTGCAAATTGTATATCTGACAATTAACTTGTATCCAGAATATATAAAGAGCTCTAAAAACTCAATGATAAGAAAACACACAACCCAACTCTTTTAAAAAATGAAAAAAGTTTTGAACAGTTACTTCACTAAAGAAGATATATGGACAGCAAATAAGCATATGAAAAGACATCATTTGTCCTTAGGGAAATGCAAATTAAAACCAGAAGATGCTACTACATACCTATTAGAATCACTAAAAGAATAAAAACCTGACAATATATCTATTGTAACTTGTGATATTGAACAAGCCAAGAAGGAGAGGACCTACTAACTTATAATTGAGGAACACACAGACTAACAATTACGTTAAAGTTCTTCTCCAGGATGAATACTCTGATGACAAACAATTTGAGTACCAAATGAAGATTTTCCAACAATCCTTTCATTCACAGTATTTTTTTCTCTAACATGGCAACTCTAGTGCTGGTCTGATCATAATCTCTTGATGAAGCCCTTCCCTCACTCCTTGAACTTTTGGAATTCCATTCCATAGTGGATCCTCTGATGTTGATATATGCTAGGTTTATGTTTGGAAACCTTCCTGTATTCCTCACACTTATAGGCTTTCTCTCCAGAGTGAATTTTCCAGTGCTGGAGGAGTGAGTTACAGATGCAGCCTTTCCCAGACTCCTTACATTGATAGGGTCTCTCCCCAGTGCGCTGTCCTTGGTGTTGAATGTGCTGTGAGTTCAGATTAAAAGCTTTGTTACACTCCATATATGCATAGGGTTTTTCTCCACTCTTTGTCCCCTGATACGAGATTAAGATATTTTTTTGACTGAAGACCTTGTTGCACTCTTGGCATTTGAAGGGTTTTTCCCCAGTGTGGATTTGCTGATTAAGAAACAGTTTGGACCTGAAGGTGAAGGCCTTGCCACACTCTACACACTCATGGAGCCCCTTCCCCATGTGGATTCACTGGTGTGCAATGCAAAGGAAGCTAGAGAAAAAAATTCTCACCACAATTCTTATACTTGTAGGTTCACTCCCCTGTGTGAGTCCTCTGGTGCAGAACAAAAATAGACTGGAAGCTAAATGCTTTGCCACAATCCTTACATGTATAGGGTTTTCCTCTGGTGTGGATTCTTTGGTAGTGAGGAAAGTCGGAATTGCAACTGAAATGCTTGCCACATGTTTCCATTTCATAGTAATTGTGACTACTGGGAACTTGTAGGTCTTACATGACAAGAATTCATATCAACACTTTTCTCAGATGTCTATCTTCTGTAGGAATTTTCTCATTATTTGCTTCTTTCTTCACTGAATTTCTTTTTTTTCTCTCTCTCTTTCTTCATTGCATCCTCTGTGGGATTTCTTGAATGCCTCTCTAGCTTGTCCTCTGAATCACAGGTGATATAAAAATGGGGCCCCTGAGGAATATGTATTAGATGTTCCTCTGAAGCCAAGCCACAGGACACTCTATTTTGAAGCAAACCATCAGCTACAGTTTCTTAGAGAAAACACTACTTTCAGAGCAATGCCAGCTAATAAATGTAGTATAAATTAACAAATTAGAAAATCACCATTTATAACCTCGAAAGAAATTATGATTTAGGCAAAGATTGCCAGTTAGTGTTAAACTATAAGATGAATGACTGATAGGGAACAGGACAATTTTATAGTGCCAAACAATACCACCCAGATTATCTTACAGCTGCAAGGAGAAAAACAAAACCTTTCAATGAGGGATTAGGCTGTCATTTTCCTAAATACACCTTAGCATGACTAATGGTGAGGCTACCAGATAATGTGTGTCTCCTGATGCTATACAATATTAAATATATAACATCACATATGATGACATCTTGTCACAATGTTCACCTTGTATCTAATCAAGAGTTTGGATTTATTAGTTTGGAGTAAATGTGGGAGATACAAACGCTAAATGATATCATGAAGAAACAAGACAAATTCAGATACTGAAATGATCTATAGAAATTATCCAATCTTTTCAGCCATTACCATAAAAAAAAAGATTTAAGGGACATAACTAACAATTACAATGTATGGTCCTGAAGTGGTAGAATCAGGTAAAATGATGGTTTCTTAAGGAGAATAGGGGGCATCTGAGTATGGACTGGCTAACATATAAATTAAGAGAAACCTATTGATTTTCTTATATATGAAACTATTATTTTGGCCACGTAGAAAAATATTATTTTTAAGAGACGGGCCCAAGGTATATGGGGAAGGAATACAATAATGTTTGTAATCTACTATTTAAATGAGATTTAAAAATTTAAAACAGTTACATGTAAATAAATACAGCTGCTAGTAAAGTTTTCTCCCTCTACTATTGGTTAGTGGGCAAGAAAAACTGCATTGAGGGAATGTAAACTGGTACAGCCATTGTGGAAAACAGTATGGAGTTTCCTCAGAGAACTAAAAATAGAACTGCCTTATGACCCAGTAATCCCACTGCTCGGTATATACCCAAAGGAAATGAAATCAAGGTATCGAAGAGACACCTGCACTCCCATGCTCATTGCAACACTATTCACAAACGCCAAGAAATGGAATCGACCTAAATGCTCATCAATGGACAAACGAATAAAAAAAAAACCCCCGTGGCATATATATATACACAATAGAATACTATTCATCCATAAAAAGAAATGATATCCTATCATTTGCAGCGACATGGATGGACCTGGAAACTATCACATTAAGTGAAGTAAGCCAGACACAGAAAGGCAAATATCACATGATCTCACTCATATGTGGAATCTAAAACAAAAAACAGTGGTTCTTATAGAAGTAGAGAGTAGTCTGATGAGTAGAAGCCAGGAGGGGAGAGAGGTGAGTGGGAGGAGAAGTGATGGATAAACGGGTGCAAAACTAGGCTGTCTACCCTAAGTGAATCACTGTACAGTATATGCACATATTGAAATAACACATTGTTCCCCACAAATACATACAATTAAATCTTAAAATTAAAAAAAAAGAAAAACTTTGTTGAGCTTATGAATTTTGGAAAATGAGCTGAATGAAAGTAAGATGTAATGTAACTTTTCTTCAAATATACCCAGGGATAAAAACATCCAGAGTAAAAACACAGAAGCAGCTGACAAATAAAAGAGTTTAAAGGGATGGGAAGTAATGAATAATGAACCAATCAGAAAGAGTGTGATCAAGGATTCCAATGAATTTCATCAGGAGAACAAACATTTTGTACTTTGATGAAATGAAGGCAAAGAGACAAAGCTGAGGAAGATACCGTCTGCTTAACTCACCTCTGAAGCCTGCTCTCAGGCCCCCTACTCTGGGCTCCCTGTGGCTGGGTGAACCACAGCTCTTTCCCTTGCTCCAGCTGAGAGATCAGAGCTGGTTTGGAAGCAGGTGATGCTGCTTGAAGGAAAGAAAACGTAGCACAATGATGAGCAGAGTCACAGAGGTCGATTTCACCCTGTGACTGCAAGGACAAGCAGATGAGGTGAGGAGAGTAATTCTTGGGTGGGCTGTACAAGGACACCCCAGAGAGGTCCAGGGACCCTAGGAGAAGCCTAAGGATTGTGTTCTCAGGAAGCCTGAGACATCCATGGAGGCAAATTTCTATTTAAGGGGAAAAAATGTCTTATTTTCTTCGTGATAAGTAGATATCCATAGTAGAGATTTCCATGGTAGGGAAACAGACACCTGGCTCCTAGAAAAAGCTACCAGAAGTAGAAAAGCAGGCTGGGGTTCCCCCAAGATATTTTATAGGATGAGAATACTGGAGGCTAAGTCCTACCTGTGGGTACCAGAAGGCCACTCAACTCCTGCCCAGAGGACGACCCCTAAGGCAGATAGGGAAGGGAAGATATCTCTCCGCACTTATCAACTGTGATGTTCAGAGACTTAGGGTCCAAACCCCCCAAAACCATAACTCAGCTAATAATTATAAGAGGCCCCTTCAGCCTCCAAGGGTCCAGGCAGAGATCAGCCACAGAGAGGCCTTATCTAGGAAGGCCACAGCCCCACAGTTCTCCAGCATCACATCCCTGTGCAGGGCCTTCTGAGCAGGCACCAGGCCGGGTCATTCCTTCTCAGTGAAGTACACAGACACCTCCCTGAAGGACAATGATTCCTGAAATGACAAGTTCCTGCTGTCTGAGGGCAACCCATCCTCAGGCCTTTTGTAATCTACAGTGTATTTGGTCCTTAGTCCCTGAAGTGGAGAGGTTTGTGTGTGAAACTGAGAAGGTGTGAAGGAAGACAACACAGGAGGTAAGGCAGCCAGCCAGAGTCCAACATGCTTTCCAGTATGAACTACCACACAACTGTGACTTCCTGTGGACATTTAAACTGCAGCATATCTTCTAGTCTTGGGCTTCACCATGAGTATGTTTATGGAAAGATAACTGGCCCCTGGCCATGGCCATTAGTGTACATAAATGCATATATTTGGATGATTATGTTGGCTGCTCACCTCATGCCATGTAACCACGTCATTGCATTTTACCTTAATTCTTCCTTCATCCTTAACTCTTCTCACCCTGTTTGTGGTTTTCCAACCTCTGCATTTAGAAAATAGTTTACTAGTGACCTAGCAATAGCACTGAGAATTTGTGTTATGGTCATCCCGTAAACACATCATGATCTCACCCAAAATTTGGTTTGGATGTCTCTAAACTTAGGACACCACACGTACACCAAGAGGGTAGAAAAAAGGTTATTTCTCCCAGAATGAGGCTTTCTTGAGAGAGCAGAACAGGCTCCCAAGCTGGCCTGAAGGGCCTGAGAAAACAGGGAAAGAGGACTGGTTTGGGGTTTTATGGTGGTTGGGAGGTGGGACTGAAGTGGGGGTTCTTCCACATGAATCAGGGATTGGGTGGTTTAAACTCTTCTCCAGCACCAAGAAAAGTAGCACCTGAGTTTTGTTTTTTTTTTTTTTTTCCAGCTTGACTAGATAGAGGCAGAAGAAGACACAGGAATGATGTGGTCTCAGCATTCCCTGGTTATCTGGCTGCTGAAGACAGGGTAGAAAGTGTCTAGAAAACTCAGTACCCTCACCAACAATCACTATATCTACTCATCCCAGTGCAGAGAAGCCTAAAAGGTGAGGAAAAATCTGAGGCTAGAACATTTGAGGGGATATGAAACATTTCCAAAAATCAATGTATCACCTCTCTCCATGCTCCTTTTGTCCTGTATATACTGCCAAAGAGAAAACCCAAGATTATCACTCCCTGCCCAAACACACTCGCTGTCTAGTTCAGTTTCTACAATCCCTCACCCAAAGATTCTAGTTCCATACTCACTCTCCAGCCTGGCTCACCCTCCTTCCGTGCATGCCCATTTCACTGCAGCTACACTCTAGCGTTGTCTGTGCCATAAATATGCCTCTGCTTGTGCCTGTTCTCTCTGCCTGCAATGCCTGCCTGCCCTCCCTTCCTTTTTGTCCACATCCCCACTGCCAAAACTAAATTGATCCTTGCCGATCTAGTTCAAAAGTCACCTCCTCCATGAATCTTTACCGAGATCTGGAACTAAATAACTCCTTTCCCCTAAATAAACTTATTATAAACGCTATACTCCCCATCCTACTTACAGAAGTCTTCTCATTATTCTAGGTATTACAGATATCTGGTGCCTGTAAGAAACTCTTAGTTGTCTCTCAATACCTGTTTTTTCCCTTGCTGATAGAGATAAAACAACAACAATAACAAAATCCTTGTGTTTAACCAGTCAGGTGAATGTCCAGAATAAAGTGATTTCCCAGATGCCTTTGCATCTAGGCATGGCCACAAAAATGTGAAAGCCAATGGCCTTGTGACTAAGTTCTGCTAGGAACTAGGACTCAGCAATGATGGGCTATTTTGTGCCACACACCCATCTTCAAAATCTTCTGATGTTCAAAAAGCTTCCCATCCTACTCAGAGCAAAATCCAAAGTCATTATCATGGCCCAGTAGGTCCTATGTGACTTGA